TATATATAAAATCGCTTTTACGACCTTCGGTTTCTTTCAACCAACACAGCTTCAACCGACTTCGCCGTTTATGTGACGTATCCTGTTAGTTTTATTACTGAATGGAAATTATGAATTCTTGCAGAAAACCCAATATAATAACTTACGCCAATGTGTAATGTATTTAAGCATGGAAGATATTTCCTCCACAGTTAAGCATGGTGTTAAAAAAACCATGAAAGAGGTGCATACCCGAAGCAATGAACGTGGAACAGAGAGAGTTAACCTCAGTTTAACGCGCGGACTGATTTTATGGGCGGCCATTAGTGTCAGTATTCTCTACTGCCTGTATTATACTGCCCTCATTGGAGCTTTCGAGATTAGTGCCGTCCCTATAAATAAATGTTGGTCTTGCTATCACTTTTTCATGGTTAGTGCTAAGTTTAATACAATTAGATAATTTTTTTTATAATATTTGAATCATTTTAATATTTTTTTCGAAATCAATGAGTATGAACCTGCTTTCAATATTCAGATATTAGGCATTACTATGTTTAAAGTAAAATATATATTTTTTATTATATTATTTTTCTAATGAAAGTTATATCACCAACAATTCAATCATCTGATGGTGATTTATGTTTTAGAGCCTTATCGCTTGTCATCATGACATCAGTGTCTCTATATATATGCACTTTATATTTTAATCTCTGTCACTGATTCCAACACCTATTAAACATATATTCAGCATATTTTTTTAAAATTTTTCTTTAATTAGTTATTTATTTATTTTTTTTAAATTCATGCTTTTATAAAAGGCTTAATGTATTCTCTGATCATGCTGAATTATCTGATGGACAATAAAACAAAAATTAGTATACAGAGGTCATTTCAGAGTCAAAGGTAAACATTTGTGGTTAACAAGCATGAAGCTTTTAGTTCCATTTGTTATGAAATTTCAGTGTACTGTACTGTTAAATCCAGGAATTCATACTTGATGTCCGATTGATTTAGGCTTGACCTTCAAATCTAAAAAAATGCTACTGAGGCTCTACTTAATGTATCTCTATATGTTTTTAATAATTAATATCTTGAAGTTTGTCTATATATTGTAAAACAATGCTTACGAACTCAAGGCAGTGAATGTATCAATGTGATTTGCAGATTTCAACAATAAAATATTGTTACATTTAAACTTTTTACCAATAAAGATCTTTTATGCACAGAATATTATTACCTTTGACTGTGATATTGAAAGAACACTCATCTACATTTCCAGAATTATCTTGTACTATATATTCTACAGTTGTAACTCCAATTGGAAAGGCATATCCAGATGAATATGTTGAGTTTATATCAATTTTGCCTGAGTTGTCTTTAACTGAAGTCTTCCACGTTACAACCGACTTTGGGCTTCTGGCATCAGTTTCAACAGAGAACCCGGATGGGCATTCAAGATTTGGATCTTCCACATCTATGAAAATTTAGACAAATGAAGGATTAGTTTTAGGTGTCAACCTCTAAAGCATTAAGAAAATATCCTTAATAAACGCATGGGATCTTACCAATAAAATCAATTTCAATTGAACATGTAGCTGTAGCCATGGGAGTAGAACTATGGAAGTAAAACTATGAAAATCTACGTGTACAATCACGTTACTGATGTTGCAATCAAAAACTGGTACCTCGTTATTTTAGCGAGAAAATGCAATTATGAAATATTTTCATAATTAATGCCCCTTCACAATGTTATTCTTAATGTATTTATTGAATTATATATAAATAAGACTATAGAATTAAATAAAATGTTGGTATACATACGTTATATCATTTACCTTTCACAGATATATTAAAAGAGCATTCCGCTACATTACTTTCCTCATCTATTGCTGTATAAATAACTGTATGAGTACCGACACCAAAACCATCACCAGGGTATGCTGTCTTAACCACATCAACACGACCGAAGTTAACTATTCATGATTATTATGATTATTATTATGTGGTTAACTATTACCTACCCATTACAGTTATGTTGAAGGAACACGAATCTGTGTTATTGTATATATCTGTAAATGTGTACGTAACTTCGTGGATTCCGATTACAAATATGGTTGGTATAGAATGACTTTCAATAACACGAACGTCTCTATATGAATTATCCATATACGTAGGATAATTCCATGTGACATTTGCGGCATTGGAATTAATGGTTGTGTTTATTTCGAAACTTTTCTGGCAGTCAAATGTTGGTGGCTCATTATCTGTGAATAAAACACATGTTAATTAACAAAAACAAGAGATTGAAAAAGTGAATTAAATTGAATGAAACTGGATGAAATTTAATGATTTAGATAGAATTGAATGGAAATACATGAGGTAAACGGATTGAAGATATGAACAAATTAAACCAATTGAACCACGGTAACGAAATATAAAAAGTATAAGAAATGAACAAGAAGAAGGTAAACGAGAAGAAAAATGAAAGAGGTTAACGAAATCATCTAAATATACGATATAAATCAAATGAACGAAGCAAATAAAGTGTCTTATGAATGACATAAAAACAAATGAGAAGACAAATGTCGATGAATTAACGAAAAGAATGAAATAGTAGATAAATGCGATGAATAAAAATGAGATGTATTCAATGAATGATATGAATGAATAAATGTAATAGATTTATCAATTGAATGACCACCGTAGATATAACACACACAC